TATTAAATAAATATCCTATATTTTTCCAGCAGCACTTGAAATTTTGAATGGACAACTAACATTTCAACCGAAATAAAAAAAATACCCATTTCAAAATAAGATTAGTAAATTAAACCATAATTTTCAGCAGCTGGAGTATTTGATTGTAGTTGTGTGATATTGGAAATTTGTTTGAACTGCCAGAAATTACTGAGCTTTTCAGCATAATACTTGGGAAGCATTTATAGATTTGAACTTCGCAGGCCTTTGCATTATGGAAATTAGGAATGTAGGATTTACTTTCAAACTCTTGTATATTTTTAGAAGGGTTGCGGTTGTTGTCTGAAACTGAGTGCGTCCAATTTTTGGGTTTCAACAAACTTCAGCTTAAACCAGCCAATCAAATGTTCATTGACATTATTTAATTTTATTGTGTTTCCCTTAGATCGTGTGGATTATTTTCAGCAGATTAGATGCCGTCATGCTTATAAAGCATAAGATAGTGAATGTTAAAAAACAGAAGGTATTTGTTCTCCACAATTGAGTACATTTTCATTGTTTCGTGAAAGCCAATTAAATTCTAGAAGGGTACAAAAGCCTGGATGATGGTGAAAGAGTCCATCAATGTTTAAAAGTGTATAAAATTGCAAGGACCTCTTCATCTGAAGAGGTTTCAAAACATTAGTTCAGTGCAATAGGTAAACACAGACTGAGAGCCAAAACTGCCTTGGACAGAAAATTATTGACAACTGTTCAGGTTCAGGGACAATTGCGAAACCAAATTTACAAAATTATTTGATGCATTGAACCTAGTAAATAGTATCAAGTGCTATATGTGACAAATATTTAGGAACCTTTTGTCCAGGAACACCTGGACCGGAAGTGTTAACTCTGCTTTCACTCTAGTGATGCTACCAGACTTGCCGAGTTTCTCCAGCAATGTCTGTCTTTGTTTTAGAACTTGTACTAGTGTGTTCAGTATATCTTGCATTCCCCAAATGTAATATCAGTGTCCGTAATTTGTTTGGCACCAAATAAATGAATAAGTGCCTGTTATCTTTTGTTGTATAATCCAACATAAGTTGGTTGGACTATTTCAGGAGATACAGTCGTAGAGATGTACAGCACAGAAACAGACCCTTTGGTTCAACTTGTCCATGCCGACCAGATATCCTAAATAAATCTAATCCCATTTCCCAGCATTTGGCCCATATCCTTCTAAACCTTTCCAATTCATATACGCATCCAGATGCCTTGTATTGTACCCACCTCCACCACTTCCTCTGGCAGCTCATTCCATACATGCACCACCCTCTGCTTGAAAATATTGCCCTTTAGATCTCTTTTGAATCTTTTCCCTTTCACCTTAAACCTACGCCATCTAGTTTTGGACTGCCCCACTCCTGGGAAAAGACCTTGTCTATTTACTCCATCCGCTCCCCCTCATGATTTTATAAACATCTATAAGATCACCCATAGTCTCCAACACTCCAGCGAAAATAGCCCCAGTCTATTCAGCCTGTCCCTACAGCTCAAATCCACTGACCCTGGCAATGTCCTTGTAAATCTTTTCTGAACCCTTTCAAGGTTCACAACATCCTCCCTATAGCAGGGAGACCAGAATTGCACACAGTATTCCAGTAGTGGCCTAACCAGTGTCCTGTACAGCTGCAACATGACCTTCCAAAACCTATAATCAGTGCACTGACCAATAAAGGGCAAGCGTACCAAATGCCGCCTTCATTATCCTGTCTACCTGGGATTCTGCTTTCAAGGAACTGTGAACCTGCACTCCAAAGTCTCTTTGTTCAGCAACACTCCCCAGGATCTTACCATTAAGTGTATAAATCTTGCCCTGGTTTGCCTTTTCAAAAAGGAACACCTCATATATGTCTAAATTAAACTCCATTTGCCACTCCTCGGCCCATTGGCCCATCTGATCTGTGAAAGACAACTTGCAAAATTCAATTATTGCCTGAGACCATTGCTTTTGCCAAGAATATGAGAACTTGTAGCCAAAATATATTTCTAATCAGGAGAACAATACAATTCTACAAGTTAGAACATTTACATGGTACTGGAAGGATGTGAAGTATCTGAACCTTTCAGTGTAATTTTTCTTGTTAGTGCACTTAAACCTTGGAATGTATCATTTGAACTTGACAGGCACTGGTCCCTCTATTCCAATTTTATGTTTACTATTGCAGAATATTTGCCTGCACTTTGAACAGTATAATTGGTATATTTCAGATATACTTAATGGATCATAGCATCACAGTGTTGTATTTAGGGAAGGCTGAAGCGAGGACTACCTTTCCACTCAACTTTGTTGTGACATTGGGTTTGAAACTAACTGATGACCTCTGCTTAAGCCCCAAAACCTAGCAATTCAGAGTTTCCTTAAACTATTTGAAGACTAGCCTTATAAGGGATGAGTGATGTCAAGTTCCTGTGTAGTCTTTGCATTGATGCACATATTTTCATTCAAACAGAAGAAATTCAGGAATTATTTGATGATAGTATTGAATATTATAAAATGAGGCACAAAGTAGATGGAAACAAATCATGTTTCCAGCAGTTGAATCTACAGCAAGGAGACATGAACAAAAAATATGAAACTTAAGAAATTTTACATTGAGGATTATGAGGCTATAGATCTCATTAGATGTATTATTTTAAGAATTTAGATCATTCCTGGTAAGAAGGATAAAGGGAAATGAGATTAGGACTGTTTATCTGGAAGATAAACATGGGCTGAACAGCCTTTTCCATATTGTAATTTCTTTTATGATTCTATTTATGCTGCTAGGCTCTACCACTTGTACCTAATGAAGCCCATCTGTCTCTGAAAGTTTTATCTTTTTCTTTGCATTCTTCTGACTTGACTGTTTCATTGCATTTTGACCACTGTCCGATTTTCAATCTGCTGTAGATTCTCCTTTCATGTACTATCCTGTACTAAGTTCCGTCGACCCACAACCTGTTCGAGGCCTATGTTGGCTCCCAGCTTTCAAAACCTCAATTTTAATTTGTCATATCATGTTTAAATCCCTTCCTGTCTTACAAACCCCAAAACATCTTCATTTTTCTAACTCTTGGCTCCTATGCAGTTTCCTTCCCTTCATGACACATTGACAACATTGCAGTCAGCTGTTTAGACCATTAATACTGTAAATTTATTTTTAAAACTCCGCTGCCTTTCCTTTTTCTAAAATGTAGTCCTAAAAATCTACCTCTATTACCAAACTTTTAGTGTCTGTCTTAATATCTTTCTGTTTGGCACAATGTTAATTTATGTCTGATGCTTTTATGATCTAACTAGGAAAATATTAATAGCCATATACAGATGCCAGTGTTTGTTGAGAAGAGGACTTTTAAGATAGAGGGATTATATGGAGCTATGGTTTCCTGAAGCTTAGCTTGATTACCATAGAAAAGACAGCAGAAAATAATTCCTACCTTTCCCCCCTTAACTGGCTAAAAAATTATTGTCTAGGGGATTGCTTGTTTAGGAACAGCTCATTGGTTTATAGGAGTAGGCTGTTCCCCCTTGGTGTCAGGCTGATAACCTCTGGTATTCACAACAGTTAGACAAACCAATCAGTGAGCTGTTGCTGGCTGAATTTTACTCTGCAAACAGACCCTTGTTCCATGCCGTCTTATCTCTCCTGTTCCACTATTTGAAAAACAGCAGTGCAAACGTGACTCACTGAGTTCCAGTAATTTGTTTTTAAAAGTGTAGCAATTCCTTCAACAGTGTTTGGTTTTAAAACAGTTCTGTTCTTATTTGAGTACACCGTCAAAAACAAAGGAATAATAAATAGATATGGTCTTTACAGCATGAACTCTAACTACTGTCCCTGCTTGACTCCTCTTGGGTAATCCCACTGAACCCTTTGTGCCTTGCCAGCATTTTCAAAGAAGCCTTTCAGTGTGTGTTCAATGTCTCCTTACGAGCAACAATTCTGCCCTCTCTTGGAATCATTCCCACCAAATGCAGTACTCGGAACTAATCTTCTAACTGTTTTGGACCATAGAGATGATCAGCTATCATCACCTTATCCCCAATTCCCCCAGAATGTCTGTCCAATTGAAAATGAGGCCCTTATTTTAGCTAATTACATGCATTAACATTGTGAAATTGGGAACTTAGTACATGGGTGATATCCTGCACCCAATAGACACCTATTTTTGTGACCATATCTTCCACCACCAGCTCCATCCAAACTGTGGTGAAGTAGTCCATGTCCTCCTTGGCCTGGTTCAACCCACCCCATCTCTGTAATCTACAAGTCACTGAGAACTTTATATAGCTGCAACTCTGAATTTTTGTGATCTCCCACTTTCTTATCCCATGATTGGCAACCATGCCTTCAGTCATGTAGGCATTGAGCTCTGGAATTTGCTTACTAAATCTCTCTACCTCTCTTCTTCCTTAAGATCTTTAAAATACACCTAAAGCAGCATGCTTCTAATAGCTGTGTACTGAATAGCGAAGTCAGTATGGATCCTTTGTAGCCAAGGGACGCATGTGGCAAACTGTATCTCACTGGATGCCAATAAAAAGTTCAGATTAGAGTTCAGAAAAATCCCACTCCAATTTTGCTTTCCTACTTCCCACTTCCTTATGTTGATGGAGGAAGAGTTGTAAATTTAAATTTATGATCTTTAAGGACAAAAATCTAAGGAAAACATTTTCCATTCATTTACGTCTTGATGTTGGAGCTGTTTACTGTCAAGGGTACTTGCCAAGAGTAAATCTACCCAAGAGTTGGAAATAATGACAGAATCAAGGAAGAACTGGTTTATAATGCATTTTCCAGTCCCTCCTTCATTGATCCTCTGGGATCCACTTTGAAATTTAAGTTTGCTTTCATCGTAGATCACTTTTATTCCAATATAAATTTTTATATTTGCTGAACTTCAGGATGACCTTAGCATTTCTTCCATCATTTTCAGCCATTCTCTATGTACCACATACAGAGAAGGAATAACTTCTTAATTGTTTTCCTGGTCCCTAGATGATGAAGTTTGCTTGGGACAACTATAGACGATATGCATGGGGGACAAATGAGCTCAAACCATTGTCGAAGAGTGGACATGCAAGTGGCTTGTTTGGTAAGTGATTTGTCAAAATTGTTATTCTGTGCTACAGAGATATTGTCACACAGTTGGTATGTCTTTATTAATAGAAGAAAATTGCAGTCAATTAATCAAAAGCTGAAAAAACGTCCAAGTCCTTTTAATGCAAAGCTTTGAAAATTATAATTCACAGTCAATCTCTTGTGTAATTTTCACATTCATTAAGGTACATAGACTAAAGCAGGGGTAATATTGGAACTGAATTCAGGTTGGGGAACATAATTAAACCAGTGTGGTTGGGGCAGGTGTGTGTAGTGATATTGCAGGGATATATAATGGAATTGGTGGGTAGAGGTAAGGTGATGATGCACCAGCACGTGGTCTTGAAGATGAGTTAATGGAACCACTACTTGGGGTTGAAGAGAAAAAGAGTTACTACAAGAATTAGAACTAAAATTAAATTTTGGAAGAAACCTAGTCCATCGTTTGATCAGTTTGAGCAGTGTTTGTTGGAGGAGCCCAGCTCTCGGATCTCGTCTTGCAAAGCACTGTTAAAATAAAAGCTTTGCTGTTTCTTTCAACCACATTTTAGTTTTTAAGTAGTTTTAGTCACAGCTGTGCTGTTATTTCCTTGGCCAGGTGTCACACCCTGGTTTCTGGAGCCTTTCTTTCTAAAAGTAGATTCATCTTAAACCCAAGGGTCTCCTGCTGTCTTTAGTTTCAGAAGATTAACATAGTTCTGCTTCTTACATCGTCTTGCAAGCTGATCACTTTTGCAGTCTTACTGGCCTTCCACAATCTGCAATCTCATATAGACACTGTCACTGAGCTGCCAGGTGTTGGAATAAGAAGCAAAACTCAGTTGTCCTGATGGAACTCCCTCGCTCTATGCTGTTTATTATAATATAGCCATTAGTTTTCTGGGCCTTTTTTCAAGTATTCCCTTAGGAGTGACTACTTCTACCTTCTCCCTTATTTTCAGGATGTGTTCCAGCACATTCCAAGAGGGCTAATGATTTCCTCCCATTCTTCCTTAACATCTAGAAGACCATGGGGTTGTCTCCCATAAGGAAGCTTCAAATGTGAAAATCCCAGAGGCCTGTGGAACTTTCTGAATTGCAAACATTACCTACGGTAACAAGACACCCCTGTTCTTGCCATCCCTGTCTACTACTCTCTTAAGCATATTTTTCAAAGTATTGTCGGAACACACTATCGCTCCTCCCATTAGTCAGGGGATGATGTACTGAAGTCCACTGAATCTTAGTCCTTTCGTAATGCATTTAAATCGTAATTAATGTGAGACCTATGAGAATCTCTCCAAGTATTCTGACTCTGAAAAACACCTTTATTAATTCATTGGCAGCATTTTTGACGCCATATTATTCAAGGGATACTAGTCATGTAATCAATTATCAGGAGGATATACTTGCAGACTCATGGCAAATCTTTGTACAGACCCCTCTAGGCCGATCACAATTGTTCCAAATGGTAGATCGACTTATGGTTAAAGAGACTGATGGAGTGCAGTAATGAAGGTTAAATCTTGCCAATTAACATTCTGAATAGGAATTGCAAAAAAGATGTAACTTCTTTATAAATCCCTGGTCAAAAAATTTTGTAAGAATTTCTGCAAATTTTTCCTACTCATAAGCTTATCTATCCAACACCCATTTGTAGCTTCCTCATCAAAGAGGTCACAATCTCTGTCACAGCTTCTTGCAGCACTGCAGATCTCCCTCGTCGAGTCTTGGACAAGATTCCTCTTCAGTCAGGAATGACAGGGCAGGGTGGTGTACTGGTATTGCCACTGGGTTAGTAGTACAGAAAACCAGACTGATGCCCTGATGCTCTTGGGGGCATAGGTTCAAATCCCACCATGATGGATAGTGACAGTTGAATGTAACAAATAAATCTGAAATTAAAAACTAATGCAGTAGTGACCATGAAATCATTGTAGATTGTCATTAAAAACCCATGTGGTTCTAATGTCATATGGGGATGGAAAATCTGCCATCCTTACCTGATCTGAGTTGCATATGACTTCAGATCCACAGCAATATGGTTAATTCTTAAATGTGCTTTGATATGGCCAGAAAGCCACTTGGTTGTGTCTCTCTGCTACAAAATCTGATAAATGAAATTGGATGTACCCTCTAGCATCGATCGAGGCATCAGAAATTATAATGGTGCACAATCCCTCTCAATGCTACAAAGTGCTCCTTAATAACATTTGGGCGTTTGTGCCAAAATTAAGAGAACTGAATTGCAGACTAATCAAGCGATGGCCTGATGTAGAAATTCAAAGACTCTCACATAACCACAGCTGTCACACACAGGCATTCAGTCCCACTGAGAGGGTAGAGCCATCAGAGGCAGAGCAACAGTGGTATACCATAAGGAGAGAGTTGCTTTGGGAGTCATCCCTTGGAATCTCAAGGCGTCAGGTCAAACATGGGCAGGGAATCCTCCTGCTGACTTCCACCTACCATCCAAAGTTTGCTGACACGTGTTCTCTTGCATGTTAAATGGCACTTGAAGGATGCACTGAGGGTGGCAAGAATGTATGTGGGTGGGGACTTCAATGTCCATCACCAAGGCTCAGTAGGGCCTCTACCTACCGACCTGGTCAATTCCTGAAGAACATAGCTGTTAGACTGTATCTTCAGTGGGTCATGAGAGAAATAGCACTTGAACTCATCCTCACTAACCTAACTGGCAGATGCCTGAGTCTATGATATTATTAGTAGGAGTGGTGACCACACATCTCTTGTTAAGAAATGTTCTGCCTTCACATTGAAGATAGTCTTTAGCATTTTATGTGGTACCGTTGAATTGGATAGATTTCAAACATATCTAGCAACTCAAGACTGAACAGTCATGAGGCACTATGGGGCATCAGCAGTAGCAGAATTCAACCACAGACTGTAAATTCTTTACCCAGCATATCCCCCACTCTATCATTACCACCAAGCCAGGGGATCAATTAAAGAAAATACTGTGGATGTTGGAAAACTGGAAGAAAAGGAAAGTTGACACCTGTTTTTAGGCATGTCTGGTGCTGCACACCATTCTGCACTCTTCATTGAACCAGGGTTGAAAAGATGTTGAGGCTTTCCTGAGGCTGCAGAAGAGACTTACTGGAATAATATCAGAAATCAAGAATACAGCTACACGTGGAGATGAGAGAAGCTAGGATCGTTTTGGTTAAGTTGAAGAAGGTTAAAGGGAGATTTAATACAGAAGCTCAAAATCATGAAGAGTTTTGATAAAATTAATAAGGAGAAGCTATTTCTAGTGGATGAGGGATCAGGAACCCAGGAGAATTACGGTAATTAGTAGAATAGCCACAAGCAAATTGAGTCCTTTCTCTAACGTTAAAAGTAATGACATGGAATGTGTCACCTGAAAAAATTGTGTTAAAATATGTAAGCAAGTTCAAGAAGGTATTTAGAAGGTAATTGAATACATTGAGTCTAAGGGTAGAAAATTAAAAGACTATTAGTAGAAAGTTGGAGAGTAAGATGAATTGTATAGCTCTTGCAAAGAGCCCATTTAGGCAAGATTGGCCAAATGGCCTTCTATGCTTGAGAACTCAATTGGCTGAGTTTTTTTGGCTGAGTTCAAATTGTGCCAGATTTCTGGGAGGAATTTTTGTCACATGCACTAGTAAGTTTTCGCACCATATCGTGCCAAAATCACTTGATTAACTACCTACTCCACCCTTCTGGCATTTGTCACATCTGATCCAGCCCCCTTTTACCATGTGCGATTCCCAGAACAACATGCCACTTGGATATATGCCAAAAGACCCTTGTGTTTGCACCATCTTTGAAAGATTGCTGTGCACCTGGACAAGCATAGCAATCCAGCGTCACCTCTTCCCAGCATTGTCATGGCGCATCACCCATAAAACTGCACTGCCCATGGCACACAGACAGCAGAGCTGACACCCCCTCACACATACATCTGCATTTTCTCACCCTGTTTGCTGTTTAATTGCCATATCACACATTGTATCTGCCTGTGGGCACACAAGTCCAGGAAGCTGTAATGTTGATTACAGATCATCTATGTGTTTAGTGGAGAGAAACACTCACCTTGGAGATAAATTCTGCAGCTGTGATACAGCTGTCTGTAACATGAGCGTAATCGATGGGACTCTGCACCCTGGGGAAACTAAGCTATATTCCCGAATCCTCCTACCTAGACTGCAGCTCTGACCTCGTCATTTGGGAACAAAATGAACCTGTGTGACTTTGCACAGGTGACATTGGTCACTGTCCTGATGCATTTGTGGGTGCACGACTGCGAGATCCCATACTGCTCGTCCATTGCTCGCTGGAAGTGGTCACTCAAACAGACGTTCAGAGCCACTGGGAGAATCACTCCTACAGTCTTCAGACCTCCAGCTTTTGGCACTATTCTGTCACAATGTCCATATGGAGCCAGTGTTAGTACTGCACCTTGCATATTTCTAAGGAAATGGAGGAAGGGCTGAAAATCTCTGGGCCCCTTGCACATTCCACACACCCTGAGAGGTCCCGAGGGATGATGACCTTCCCCTGAGTTAGGTGCCCCTCTTCCTTTGCGGGTGCCTGGCCTTGCTATTGGCCTAGTATGTTGGCAGGTGCAGCATGGCAAGATATGTAGCTACACGTTTGCAGGTTGGCATTAAGAAAGCAAGTGAACAGCCGTTAATGCCAGTCTGCTCCAATCCACGAGCTGGGTAGCTGCTTCTTTGCACAAATTATCCTTGCAACAGCTTCTCGATGCTAGTTGCCGGTGCTCCCTGCAGTTCAACTCCGTACATTCTAATTGGCCTGCTGTGTGTTTGAAAAGTGCCATGATAGGCATGTTGGATGGACATTGGGTACATGCAACTGATACCTGTGATGCAATTTCATCATTAGCAGCATAATGGTCATTTGGAGCAAGGAGCAAGGAGCAAGCAGCAAGCTCTATCTGCCAGGTGTCTGCTCTGGTTTCTGTATTGCCTTTTCTGAAAGTCCAGTTTGTTTGAAGTTTGATAAGAC